CCAATCATTAGGTACACAGCTGGAATAGTGGACTGGACTCAAGCAGAACTAAAAGCAATGGATAGGCAGACCAGAAAAATAATGACAATGAATCATGCCCTTCATCCACGCAGTGACATTGACAGACTTTATCTACCAAGGCAAATAGGTGGGCGTGAATGCTACAAGTACATCAGATGGTTGAAGAAGAAAAAATGGCTTTGGAAGAATATCTGAAGAACAATGATGAAGATGCACTGAAATTAGTATATCAGGAAGGCTTACTAACTACTGGAGAGACCAAACTGGCCTACAAGAAAGACCAAATGAAGAACAGAATAGAGGCATGGGAAGACAAAGCACTACATGGCCAATACATTAAAAAAATAGCTGGGAAAGCAGATAATAATAAAACCTGGCAATGGCTAAGAGCAGGAAAATTGAAGAAAGAGACCGAGGGACTAATTCTGGCTGCACAAGACCAAGCCTTAAGGACAAATGCATACAAAGTCAAAATTGAGAAGACAGCAACAGACAGTAAGTGCCGCCTATGCAAAGAAGCTGAAGAAACAGTGGACCATTTGGTAAGCTGTTGCAAGAAGATTGCACAGACTGACTACAAGCAGTGGCATGACAAAGTAGCAACAATGGTGCATTGGAAGATCTGCAAAAAATATCATTTGCCTGTAAGCAAAAACTGGTGGGATCATAAAATAGAGAAAGTCATAGAAAATGATAAAATTAAACTGCTCTGGGACTTCAGAATTCAAACAGACAAGCACCTGCAACATAACACCCCAGACTTAACAATTGTCGATAAGAAAGACAAAAAAGTCTGGATAGTGGACGTGGCAGTGCCTGGAGACAGCAGAATAGAAGAGAAAGAACTGGAGAAGATAACAAAATACAAAGACCTACAAATAGAAATAGAAAGACTGTGGCAAAAGCAAGCAAGGGTAGTATCAATAGTCATAGGCTCCTTGGGTACAATCCCAAAACAACTGGAGCACCACTTGAACACCATTGGCATTGACAAATTTGCTATTAGTCAATTGCAAAAGGCGGCCTTACTAGGAACTGCTTCCATCCTGCGACGATATCTGTAATACCATCAAACATCCACAGCTGACTATCCCAAGTCCTGGGTAAGGACTTGATAGGTAAACAAAATGCCAAATCCAGTCTGAACATCTGGCTGACTGTGCGATGATCCATAATAATAATAATAAAGTTGGACGGGACCTTGGAGGTCATCGAGTCCAACCCCCTGCTCAGGCAGGAAACTCTACACCATTTCGGACAAATGGCTGTCCAGTCTCTTCTTAAAAACTTCCAGTGTTGGAGCATTCACCGCTTCTGGAGGCAGGTTGTTCACCAAGATGTGTGCATGGAAAGAGGGCAAAGTGGAAAGAGGATCGGTCAGTAATAATTTTTAATCCACAAACGCACGTCTGAATAAAATTCTCTGGTGAAGCTTAGTACCTTTCGTTATTATTTATTTATTTATTTATTTTTACTGTCTGCAGTGGCTTCCCTTTGCATCAAAGCTTTGTGATTCAGACTTCCTTGCATGTCTTTATCTTCCATGATTCAAACCAATCAGATAAAATTTAGCTGTGCTTTTAGAGAGCGCTGTGCACATTTGTGTTGCTGACAGATTTTGTGTAGGATAACACATGCAGTTGAAGAGATTTCTAAGAAACCCAAGAAGGCAGCTAGCTATCATGGGAAAAGAGACTTTATAGACCATCAACCAATCCATTTCCAAAGCTTTTACAGCAAATGCTTAAATGAAAAGGAGATATTTATGAGTGCTACACTTTTCTAGTTGATATGATAGAGTGCTATAAAAATACACATGTATTCAGTTTGGGAAGCCTTACAGAAAATGTCAGCTGATCAATAGCCAGTGCTGCTGGCACGCACTAACCAAAAGGTGATATTTTTTTTCACCATCATGTCCTTTCACAAGAAATCAAATAAACGGTTAGTCTTTATTTCTCCAGGTATGATTTTTTTTCTATCATCTTTTCACTACATTTGCCTGACAGTTTGCAAGATCGAATTCAGAAGCTTTATCAAGGAGATGCAAACTTGATGGTTTCATTTTAATTTTGCATTACAGAAGGAGGCAATGAAGGAAGATTGGTTTTAAATAAATGTCGCATTGCTTGAAGATTTTTCAAGTGGGATGTCAAAGTCAAGGAAACGCAGCAAACATGCCTTAACAATGCCAGAAGAAATTATATCACTTCTGCTTTCTAAACCTGATTCTGCTTTTTTTTTCTTATTTCTCTGATTAATACAAAATCTGGGTTGGCTCATTTCTTCAAGCAGATCCGCTTTAAAGTCTGACTAGAATCAGGGAATGGATTATAATGGTTTGCAAAGGGATATGGGAAGTTTCATAAACACTCCAATCAACCTTTATGGTGGAAGTGAGAAAGTTGATTGTAAACAGTCATAGTTTTGAACAAAAATGAAATATCTAGCAGTTAGTCCTCAACTTACAACAATTCCGTTAGCAACTGTTCAGAGTTACAACCGCACTTTGGATAAAGTGACTTACGACCAGTTCTCACACTTACAACCATAGTAGCATTGCCTGAAGTCACATGATCAAAATTTAAAATGGTTGCAGCATCCTGGGGTCATGTGATCAGCATTTGCAATCTTCCCAGCCAGCTTCCAACAAGCAAAATCAAGGGGGAATCCAGATTTGTTTAACAACCACATGATTCAACTCTCTGATTCGTTTTAAAAAATGTGGCCGAAAGATCATAAAATTGAACATGAATCACTTAACAAGCACCTTGCTCAGCAACAGAAATTCTGGTCCCAATTGAGAAGAAGGGCTGGGGTATGTGTGTGACATGACAGCAGTGTTTCAGTATCTAAGGGGCTGCCACAAGGAAGAGGGGATGGTCAACCTATTCTCCAATGCCCCTGAAGGCAGGACAAGAAGAAATGGATGGAAAATAATCATGGAGCGAAACAACCTAGATTAACCGCAATGATTCACTTAACAACCGTAGCAAAAAAGAACATAAAATCAGGTACGGCTCCCTTAACAATCACCTTCCTTAGCCATGGATATTCTGATCCCAAGTGTTGTCATAAATTGAGGACTATCTATACCAGAAGATTGTTTTTCAATGTCAGCATGCAATTTCCCTCAATTCAGGTTTCCTGCAGTACTGTAAGAAATTAAAATGGTTTAACCAGATGGATATTTTTTATAGAAGACCCACCCAGACCTATAGATAGCCATCAGGAAGGAGCACCAGCCATTGTTACCATTCATAACCCACAAATTTAAGGCGGGGAGGCAGGAACACCAGGGCAGTGATAAAGTGAAAGATGTTGAGACCCTGGAAAGAGTGCAGAGAAGAACAGCAAAGATGATTGGAGGACTGACGGCTAAAACATACAAAGAACAGTTTCAGGAATTGGGTATGTCTAGTCTAGTGGAAAGAAGGACTAGGGGTGACATGATAACAGCGTTCCAATATTTGAGGGGTTGCCATAAAGACAAGGGGGTCAACCTATTTTCTAAAGTAACTAAAGACAGGACAAGAAGCAAGGCTCAGGCACGAAACCCTATACCATTTCAGGCAAACAGTTGTGATTTGAAGAGATTGGACAACATTTCCAGTGATTAAAAAAAATCAGTGATGGAGCATTCACAACTTCTGGAACCAGGTTGTTCCACTGATTAATTGTTCTAACTGTCAGGATGTTTCTCCTTGGTTCTAGGTTGCTTCTTTCTTTGGTTAGTTTCCATCCATTGCTTCTTGTCCTGCCTTCAGGTCCTTTGGAGAACAGCTTGACTCTCTCTTTTTGTGGCAATCCCTGAGATACTGGAAGACTGGAACCCTTGTCCTTCTCTTCATTAAACTAGCCATGCCCAATTCTAGCAACCATTCTTTATATGTTTTAGCCTCCAGTCCCCTGATCATCTTTGTTGCTCTTCTCTGCACTCTTTCCAGAGTCTCAATTTTAACTTATTCTAATGTGTTGTGTGAATATATCCTTACAATCGAAGAAGCACATCGAAAGTTTGTAAGTGGGACTAGAAGGGTCATCATCTGTCATTTTTGCATCAGATCACCTCCAGGGACTATTCTGAACCATGGTCTTCCATGAATTCAACTAGTCTTCTTGGAAAGTCACCTAAGATGGCAGCTGTCACTCCTACCAATTCCAAATTATTTCTGCATTATGTAAATATGTCCTTATTTGGTCTCAGCTCCACCTTCAGTATGTTTTAGAGCATGTACTTGAGTTCTGTTAATTAATACATAATTAATGTTACATGTGAGAATTAAAATATATATTCTCACTGCTAATGCTGCACAAGACAAGGTAGAAAGAAACAACAACAACAAAAGCATGGTACAGGTAGTCCTTGACTTACGACCACAACTGACCCCCAAATTTCTGTTGCTAAGCAACACAGTTGTTAAGTGAATTTTGCCCCATTTTACGATTTTTCTTGCCACATCTGTTAAGGGAATCATTACAGTAGTTGTAAATAACATGTTAAGTGAATGTGGCTCCCCATTGAATTTGCTTGTCAGGTGATCACATGACCCTGGGACATGGCACGGCAACTGAGTCAGTTGTCAAGCATCTGGATTTGATCATGTGACCATGGGGATATTGCAATGGTCGTTAAGGGTGAAAAATAGTCATAAATCACTTTTTTCCAGTGCCATTGTAACTTCAAACAGTTACTAAATAAATGGTTGTAAGTCAAAGTTTACTTTTGTTATTGTTAGTTGCAAAGTCATGTCCAACTCATCGCGACCCCATGGACAACATTCCTTTAGGCCTTCCTGTCCTCTATCATCAGTTTAATTCTTAATCATATTTTATTGGTTCTTCCTGGCAGAACATGATGCTACTGGTATTATACGAGAGGAATGCAAGGCTGTTCTTTAGAAAGAACACTGATTTTTTTTGTATTCTTCTCATGATTCTTTCTAACTGTCTTTCTATAATATTTTCATATGCTCAAGGCACTTACATTGGCTGCTTTGGTGATGACTCAAGAAAAAGGACATTGAAAGGAGCCGTGTTCCACGACTTGAGAAAAATGACAATTTCCCACTGCCAAGAAGCCTGTGCTGAGAGGTAAAAAATTAGAATAAGAAATAAGAAAACAAAAAACAAACATTTCTTCTGCATCCTGTTGCCTCTCAAATGTTCAGAACAGATTGGATAAACCAGCCTAACGTGAATTGGTCCCTATTTTATAAATATATTGACTCAGCATGAAATGGCAGGTGAGAAGGACCTTGGGAGGCAGAAAGAACTGCTGCTTCAGGGAATTCATCACATTTGCAGATGACACTGAACTAGTAGAAATAGCCAACATAACAGAAGATAGGCTCCAGATCCAGATGGATTTCGACAGACTTGAACACTGGGCTCTATGAAACAAAACGAAATTCAGTATAGAGAAAAGTAAGGTTTTACAGTTAGGCAAGAAAAACCAAATGTACAGGTACAGATTAAGTGAAACATGGTTCAATAGCAATAACTGTGAGACGTTACTTGGAATCTTGGTGGACAATCACTTAAATATGAGCCAACAGTATACGGCAGCAGCCAAAAAAGCCAGCACAATCCTAGATTGCATTAACGGAGAGATAGAATCACAGTCACATGATGTATTAGTACTGCTTTATAAAGCCTTAGTAAGACCACACTTAATACTTATTACTTGCTGCATCCAGTTTTGGTCACCACTTTATAAAAAAAGATGTAGAGACTCTGGAAAGAGTGCAGAAAAAAGCAACAAAGATGATTAAGGAACTGGAGGCTAAAAGATACAATGAACGGTTGCAGGAATAGGATTTGCCTACTCTAGTGAAAAGAAGGGCTAACAGTGACCTGATAGCAGTGTTTCAATAATTGAGGGGCTGCCCACAAAGAAGAGGGAGTCAACCTATTTTCAAAAGCACCAGAAGGCAAGACGAGAAACAATGGATGGGAACTAATCAAGGAGAAAAGTGCCCTAGAAATAAGGAGAAATTTCTTGACAGTTTAGAACAATTAATCAGTGGAATGACTTGCCTCCAGAAGTTATGGGTGCTCCATCACTGGAGGTTTTTAAGAAGAGATTGGACAACCATTTGTCTGAAATGGTATAGGGTCTCCTGTTTGATCAGGGGGTTGGGCTAGAAGACCTCCAATTCCCTGCTCAAGCAGGAGACCCTATTCCTGTAACCATTCTTCATATGTTTCAGCCTCCAGACCCCTAATCATCATAGTTGCTCTTCTCTGCACTCTTTCCAAAGTCTCAACATTTTTTTTTTATAATGCGGTGACCAAACATGGATGCAGTATCCCAAGTGTGGCCTTACTAGGGCTGTATAAAGAGTCCTTGGAGTCTCTACCTTTTCCCTCTTCAACTTCTCTCCTTTCAGTTTCTCCTGGACTCCCCCCACCTCCGCCTCCCAGGTCCTTCTCTTGGCTGTCAAATATTACTCCATATTTGTTTTTGGTATAGGTTGTAATAATGATATAGGAAGAAATTCTTTTTGATTTCATCCAGGGCTTATAAATATGCCGGCTTAGAATATGGAGCAGAATGCTATTGTGGAAACCAGCTGCCAGTGAATATTGCAAAGCAGGAAGAATGCAACAATGAGTGCAAAGGGGAGAAAGGGACCATCTGTGGAGGCATCAACAGGCTGTCTGTTTACCAGGTGGAGGAATCAGGGGCAGGGCCTAAACGACGTAAGTGATGTAAGCTTCTTAAGTGAGTATTTATTTCCAATAGGGATGGGGGCAACTGAATGCATGTATGGTTTTCTGTTTGACTGTTTGTCTGGTGTTAATAGATTTGCAGGGAGAAGCAGTAAGTAAGTAGATAAGCAGGGATTAATACCAGATAAACAATCAAGTAGAAGGCTTTATGGGTGGGGACCCCCCAAATGCTTAATAATCTTTATTATGGGTATAGGATATGGGTGCAAGAGATGGATCTGGGAAGTTGATGGGGTTACATTTTGAACTCTATATTCTTAATTCACCTCATCAGGACAGTTCCAGGTTGTCCCTTTGCTAATGTACACATCAACACACTTTGATATGGAAGGACCCTACAGACATATAGATTAGCACTTCCCTCAGCTGATTTTGTTTGATTCTTAGCTTCTGTCCTAGTTGTAGCCTATCATTAAGGGACCAAACAACAGAAAAAAATGGAAGATTCTAAAAAAAAAGACATAATACCTGTAATGAGTAAGAGTTAATTCTGCAATGAATAAGAAATTTGTGATAAACTTCGTTCATCATTTTTGGTTTTAAAGGAAAAACATTTCCTTTTTCGTCCTTTTCTAGTTATCCTGTTAGAGAGAGTGGAGAATAATATATCTTAAATCTCTGATTCATTCTTATTTTACTCAAATATATAGCTTCCTATGAATGCTATTTGTGGATAAGGAATGCTAAAATTGTTCCCTTTGCTAATAAAAAGGATTTTTACCCTGCAGAGTTTAACTTGCTCCTTGGCCCATTCCCAAATTTGGATCAGTGCTAACACTTCCTCAAGTACAAAAGCAGCCTGGGGTTTATTGAGTGATTGAGTTATTTGTTCCCAGAATTGGGAATGTTTGAGTGGGAAGAGGGAGTGGAGATACTCTGTGACTTACAACCATTCATTTAGTGACTGTTTGAAGTTTCAACAGCACTGAAAAATGTGACTTATGACCATTTTTCACACTTAACAGCCATTTCAGTATCCCCATGGTCACGTGATCAAAATTCGGATGCTTGGCAACTGACTCATATTTATGACAGTTGCAGTATCCCGGGGTCACGTGATCCCCTTTTGCGACCTTCTCACAAGCAAAGTCAATGGGGAAGCCAGATTCACTTAACAACCGTGTTACTAACTTAACAGTGTTGGGAGGAATTCCCCCGTTCGGTTCTTCCAGCCGGGATTCTCCTTGACAGCGCAGTGCAGAAGAAATAGATCGTGAAGCCAGCTACCAGAAAGAGGTTTTATTTCAAGGATCAGCGTTGAGTGACAATTCAGCTCGAGTCCCCGGCTAGCTAGACAGAATGATCTTTAAACAGGGGTTTTTATACCCTTTTGTGGTTTCCAAACTTGTCATTTCTGATTGGTAACAAACTTACCATTTCTAATTGGTGAGTTAAAATTTGTCTTTCTTGATTTGCTGGTTTGTGACTATTGTTAGTTCCTTTTTCTTGCCTAAAAGGTGTTAATTACTTTTATTGTTGTGTCCTGATTGCTGCTAGCTGGTTCCTCATTGTGTGTGTCAAGTGTTTGCTGTTTTAGCCTCAGGCTGCTGTTGACCCAGTTTAGTTGGGGTGTTCCTAGATTATTTCTTAGTTGGGCTGGGGAGGGGGTGTCCAACTCTCATCAATTCCCCCATTTTGGGCTATTACTGATGTATCAGTGATTAGCCCAACTGGTTCATATATACGGTAGTGGTGATCAATTTGGCACATCATGAGAGATGTTTTCTTGCTCTGTCCCTTGCTTCTGATGGGAGTTGTGCAGACCTTTAGGCATTTTAACCCTAAAGGTGCTAATTGGCATAGGCAACAAAGGAGGGCTCCACCTATTGCGACTGTGATTATACTAACAATGAGAATTTTCAACCAATGGAAGTCTGGTAACCATGAAAAGAGCCAGGAAAGGTTCCAGGATGACTGGTTGTGCCCAATGTTTTGTGCTAGTTCTCTTAAATGTTGGATGTCACCTTTAGCTTCCAGTCAGGTTTGCATACCCCCCAAAATTCTTCACAGCCATGGTTTTCCTTAGTACATGGTTGCCCGTTTTTAGGGGTTGTTTCCTGCCTTAGCTCTTAATTCAGTGCATCCAGGTTTGTAATGTCCAATATGCCAGGCTATTAAATTTTTCTTTAAATTGCACATACTGAGCTCTAGGAATCCCAATCTGGGCTCACCAGTGCAAGATATTCAGGGCTGAAGTTTGTGATTTTTCCTGTTGTTTCCTTAGTCAGGGCATATGAATTGCAAATCACCTGAGGGGGCCTAGTTCCCTACCCCTTGGAATCTGTTGGAAGTTGGTCCCACAAAGCTTTGGTGCAATAGAGCAAAAATCAGCCTGGGGAACTTTACTGAAGGTAGGTGGAGGGAATAGACTCTGAATGGTGTGAATGGTGTATGTGTGCATATGCAGCTATTTCTACAAAACAGGCAATACAAACATTCTGGAAAAGTTTTCCCTCCCACCAGATAGAAGTCCAAGGTGTTCAGTACTTGTTCTGCCACCTATTCCTAAATGCCATCTCTCCATTAATACATTCAACTGGCTTGTTACAATACAAATGGGGCAAGAAAGAAAAGTTTACAATGAGTTTCCACCCTCCCCCCACAGTCTTAATTTTCTCTTCTGAGGCTTCACATGGCACCACCTTCCTTCTGCAGCTCTCACAGGCATCTGGGTAAATGGTAGGACTTGGGAAGATATTCCACTCAGATTGTTTGGTGGCTTTTTAGTGGATGGCTGGATTCAAAACTCAATTCCATGGCTCAAATGGATGGAGGCAGCATCTGGGTCTGTGTGTTCTGCTTCCAAAGGCTTGGGAGAAGGTTTCAGGGCTGAAAGATACAAGAACAAGGTCTCCCCCCCCCCCGCTTTCTGGGCGGAGTCTACCAGGAGAGGCAGACAAAAGGTATGGAGAACAAAGGGCAGGAAAAGAATTGGAAGGGGGGTAACTTGCAGGCAGTTTGAAAATGCTGAAAACTCCAAATAATTTTAAAAGCCTAATATTTTAAGGTGTGCAACTTTCCAGAGGTAGGAGAACATTTATTCTAAAATAGACCACATCATTTTAGAGATTGAGAAATGCTTATGTTTCAGAAAGCTTCATAGTAGTTTCACCAGTAAGTGATAGGATAAGAAAAGTAACTTTAAAAAATTATTTCCCCACACAAGCAGACTTGAGTTTCAAAAGGCTCTTGTAGATAGACACACATTTTTCAGGAAAAGGAAAGATAAAACACATACAGTAAATGCAAGTGAAACTTTTCCAACAGATAAACTTAAAACAATCCCTCATGGTAACTTAAGGCTGTTCTTGAGCGTACACAGAGAGAAAGAGGAAAACAAACAAACAAACAAACACCATTCTTTTTCTTCACTCTGTTTGTTGGCCAGACAAACAGAGTGAGGTATTTCCTTTTTGTGGCTTATTTTTAAGCATAATTTCTAGCAGAATTTAAAATTCTTTTTTCTTTGGATTTGAAACAGTTAACAGTCACATTTACCTCTCATGCACAGACTTTGACAAACATATACACAAAGACAAGCGAACAGAAGTCTTAGTTTTACACATCCTAGTCATTCCCACCATAAATTTCAGATAACTCAAGTTAGGGAAGGCACATATTTTAAACATACCACGTGGTTGCATAGAGAAGAGAGAGAGAGAGAGAGAGAATCACTATTTCTTATTTTCCCTTTTAAGTACCTTTATTTAGCCAAATTGGTTTCCCAGCAAGGCCCTAAGCAAAGTCTTTCTTTCATACACTACACAGTCGAAGTCTCCTTGTGAGACTTCTTTCCTAACTTTGCATTGCTTACAGGGCCTTACCAGCTAGTTGCCCAAATCCAATTCTTTCATTCACTCATTCCATTTCATTTTCACACATTCTCTCCCTTTTCCCTAACAAAAGGTTCTGTGCTCTGGCCAACCCCCATGCTTTCCAGGTTCTGCCAATTAAACAGATCCTTTCTGCGTCTAGGAAAGACCAGAAGCAGCAAAATCCAATTGTGAGTGTCTACAATAGACTTTATGGTCTCTATAACGGTTTGAGGATCCGCACGAAAGGTGGCAGTATCCTTTTTCCAAACAACCAAATCGGACGGGGAGAAAGGGGTGTGGGTTAAAATGTGTCCTGTCTGGCCCCTCGGTCGCCCGGGTATGGGCCTGTTCAACAAGGGGGCCATGAAGGTCGGTTCAGGGTTATCTAAGGGAGGCTGGGGGTCCAAGTTGACTTGGGTCGGGTTCCTCTGTCTGGATAGTTCGACCCAGCAATACCAGTACGGTAGTTGGGTTGGCTCTATCCTTGACCTAAGTTCTTTTAGTATTCTGATTTCTAGGGTGCCACCTTCGGGCCAAATTTGTCTCCCGCGGTCATCTTTAAGCAAAGCCCATTTCCTACATAATTCCCCTAATCGCTTCTTCTTCATTCCAGCCTAGACAGGAAGCTGATTCCTGTCCCAGGCTTCGAGCAAGCTCTCAACTGGGAAACCCACTTCGGCCCTTGAATTGGAACTCCCCAACCTTTTATAACGGGGTTTTAAACCCACTTCAGCCCTTGAATTGGAACTCCCCATTCTTTTATAACGGGATTTTCCTTTCAATGTTAAAGGGCACTAACAGTCGAAGTCTCCTTGCGAGACTTCTTTCTCCTAATACAGTCGAAGTCTCCTTGCGAGACTTCTTTCTCCTAATACAGTCGAAGTCTCCTTGCGAGACTTCTTTCCCAATACACAGTCGAAGTCTCCTTGCGAGACTTCTTTCCCAATACACAGTCGAAGTCTCCTTGCGAGACTTCTTTCCCAATACACAGTCGAAGTCTCCTTGCAAGACTTCTTTCCCAATACACAGTCGAAGTCTCCTTGCGAGACTTCTTTCCCAATACACAGTCGAAGTCTCCTTGCGAGACTTCTTTCCCAATACAGATTCTCGGAGGTGAGCGGCCACCTCTGCTCGGGGCTACTGCTTTAATATTTACTGGCAGAAGGGGTCCTGGCTTGCCCAGAATAGAGTTTTCTCTCTCTTTCTCTGCCCGCTCGGTCCTCCTCTCTCACCAGAAGGTCTCACGCTCCGGTGCCCCCCCCTTGCTTTCCCGAATTCCACCGGTCACGGCTCTACTAGAGCTAGCAGCAGGTCGGGGTGCGGCTAGAGGGCACACGGAGGGAACGAGCTCCAGCTGATTCTAAGAGGAGGATGCCTCACATACACACTCATGCATTCTTCCTTTCATTCCCCCAGACCCTTTAACCTAATAGATTTAAATTTGGTGGCACTTACCCTCTTTCCTGGTAGCTGTTCGAGCATAAGACTCAAAAACTCCCTTTGCTACCCGATGCCGACCGGGCAGGGTCCGAGGAGGCTTCCCCACGGATCAAAGTGTCCGCTGCCGGCTGGGTGATGACTCTTCCGGGCCCGGTCCGGTGGCTGGGTGAGCTGGAAGTCCCTTCGTAGGTCGCCAGATTGTTGGGAGGAATTCCCCCGTTCGGTTCTTCCAGCCGGGATTCTCCTTGACAGCGCAGTGCAGAAGAAATAGATCGTGAAGCCAGCTACCAGAAAGAGGTTTTATTTCGAGGATCAGCGTTGAGTGACAATTCAGCTCGAGTCCCCGGCTAGCTAGACAGAGTGATCTTTAAACAGGGGTTTTTATACCCTTTTGTGGTTTCCAAACTTGTCATTTCTGATTGGTAACAAACTTACCATTTCTAATTGGTGAGTTAAAATTTGTCTTTCTTGATTTGCTGGTTTGTGACTATTGTTAGTTCCTTTTTCTTGCCTAAAAGGTGTTAATTACTTTTATTGTTGTGTCCTGATTGCTGCTAGCTGGTTCCTCATTGTGTGTGTCAAGTGTTTGCTGTTTTAGCCTCAGGCTGCTGTTGACCCAGTTTAGTTGGGGTGTTCCTAGATTATTTCTTAGTTGGGCTGGGGAGGGGGTGTCCAACTCTCATCAACAGCTACAGTGATTCACTTAACACCCATGGCAAGAAAGTTCGTAAAATGGGGCAAAATTAATTTAACATCTGTCTCATTTAATAATAGAAATTCTGGGTTCAGTTGTGGTCGTAGGTTGAGGGCTACCTATATTCCTGAAGCTTTCAAAATTCTGATTGATACCACTTGGGCTCTGTGAGATGCCTAAATAAAAAGCATTATTATTTATTAAAACAGCCGGACCATTTAATTGATTAATTGGGGGGGGGAAGAGTAAATGATTGGCATTACTATCATATTCTTACTGACTTAGAAATAAAGTCTGCAATATTCAGTGGAGCTTAATCAAAATCTTTCTGGCTGAAAAATTGCAGCCTCTGCAGTTTTCTTAAGTATACACCAATTAATTTGGGTTGTTTTTTGTTTTGTAAACTGTTCTTAATCGTGGTTCATACAGATTCTGCAAAGTATATCATCCAATATGGTACTTTCCCATTCTGGCTGATTCTTCTGTCCTGATGTGGCAGAGAATACATTTTGGTCATCTTTCATATGCAAAATTAATCAAGATTAATTGATTCATCACATAAAATCAGTTGGTTAAGAACTTTCTCATAAGGAAATTTAATAAAATTTTGTTAAAAAAAAGAACTTTCTCATAAGGGAGTTACAGTCTCCAAGAAGCCTGCCTGTTCTCTAATGAAACCAGGATTTTTTGATCATTTCACTTAAAAGTCTAATGATCAAGAAGGATATGATGTCTTCGTAGGGTTCCTTTTGTTTTCTGTTGAAAATGTAGAAGCTCGGGTCCCTACATGTTCCCCTTTTAAAAGACAAAAGTCAAAATGAACTATACAGATAGTCCTCAACTTACAGCTATTCATTTAGTGACTGTTCAAAGTTGCAACAGCACTGAAAAAGTGACTTATAACTGGTTTTCATACTTAGGACAGTTGCAGCATCCCCGTGGTCACATGATCAACATTCAGAGGCTTGGCAACTGGCATGTATTTATGACGGTTGCAGTGTCCCTGGGTCAAGTGATGGACATTTGAGACCTTCTGACAAGCCAGGTCAATTCGGAAGCTAGTAACCATGTTACTAGCTTAACAAGTGCAGTGATTCACTTGACAACTGTTGCAAGAAATGCTGCAAAAGTGGGGCAAAAGTCACTTAACAGCTATCTAACTTAGTGACTGAAATTTTGGGCTCAATTGTGGCTGTAAATTGATGACTACCTATATACAACATTACCTCTACATACAGTCCATGGGTTCCTCCTTCATTAAAGTCTCCTAGCTTTCAAGGATCTTTGGCAAATCTTCATAGGTACATTATTTTGTATAAATGAATATCATTCAAGCTTTTGGAAAGTTTTGGATCCCCCGGGATTTAGCTGATTTTATTTCTGATCATCAAAGTATCCTAGAGATGCTTTTTCAAAAGACAACTATACTTTCTTTGTTTTTCCTTCAAGGGGCTTCGCTTCTCATCCAAGAGGATTCTTCAGTTCTAACAGTCTATGGAGATTCTCAGTCATCCAGGTCAAGGTGCTTTTTCACGAGGCAACCGTACTTTCTTTTTTCTCTTTGAAGATGTTTTGCTTCTCATCCAAGAAGCTTCTTCAACTGGATGGTGGGGAATGGAAAGATTTATACTCCTTGCAGAAGCTATCATTTGCATTCTTTTAGAGAGTCGTTGATGCCACCTGGAGGTTTATCTGTGTCTTCAGGGTCGCCTGAGTAGTGCATATGGGTGTGGAGCCTTCTTGAAACTGTCGAAAGGACTGTGTTGTAGACTGGAGATAGATGATGTCATATCTCTCCCCCTCTGTTGAGAGAGGGCTATTCAGTTTTGACATAGATGGCCTCTTTGACCCCTCTTTCAAACCAGATGTCCTCTCTGTCCAAAATGTGGACTTTGCTGTCTTCAAATGTGGCCTTTGTCTTTTAAATGCAAATGGATTGCTGAATCTTGTTCTGATGGGTTTGTTCTCCTATATTGTGCCATACATTTATGAAGTGGTTGTTTTGTTTCCCCAATGTATAGATCTGCACATGGCTCACTGCATTGTACTGCATAGTTAAAACAATTAACCAGTGGAACAACCTGCCTCCAGAAGCGGTGAATGCTCCAACAGTGGAAGTTTTTTTTTAAAAAAAAGACTGAAATGACTGAAATGGTATAAGGTTTCCTGCCTGAGCAGGGGGTTGGACTAGATGACCTCCAAGGTCCCTTCCAACTTTATTATTATTATCATTACTATATACCACGTTGCTCAGTTTGTGTCTGGGTGTTTTGTCCTTGAGGTGGACAAGCTTCTGCCTTACTGTATTCTTAGGTTTGAAGTGTGTATGTATATCGTGTTGGCTGAACATCCTCCTCCTGCAACGTATGTAATGACTTCATTTATTGTTTTCTTCTTTATCTCTTATGGAGGATCTCCTGTTGTGTCTTTTTTGGATTTGATGAAGGCCCATTTGGGATAGCCACAAGTTCTGGGGGCTTCCTTGATATGTTTTAGTTCTTGGTCTTTTCCATCTTTGCTGGTAGGCAGGCCTTCAGCTCAGTGATGTAGGGTTCTGATAACTCCCATTTTGTGCCCCAGTGAGTGGTGAGAATCCAAATGTAAATATTGATCTGTGTGTGGGGGATTTCTGTAAATTTCAGTGTTAAGGCTTCTGTCTTCCTTAATGTATACTGCACAGTCCAGGAAGGCTAGACTATTTTCCTTAACATTTTCATGTGTGAATTTGATATGTTTGGTGAATGCTTCCAATTCCTGTGTTTTGATCCTGACCCAAGTATCGTCCACATACTTATACCAGTGAGTGGAATTCCTGTGAAGGGCTTTAGTTTCTACTTCTTCCATGTGGCCACAATGGGGGATAGAGGTGAACTCATGGCGCAGCCATGTTTTTGTCTGTAAAAACCTTCACTGTATTTAAAATAGTTCAGTTCTAACAGAACAGAAGAAGCTTCTTGAATGAGAAGTGAAACATCTTCAAAGGAAAACAAAGAAAGTCCAGTTGCTTCTTGGAAAAAAAAAAACATCTTTGGGACAACCATGGCTTGGATGACTGAAAATCTCCATAGACACATCATCACACCAGAAATTGGTTTAGTATCTGAACATCGAAATAACCTTCCTATGAAAAGGAATAAAGATGAAGACATGTTTTGGATAAAAAAAATCCGCCTTTCCCTCCACACACAAATACACAGGAGGCTTCCTGAAGCTGTTTTTGCAAATCATTGAAATGCCAGGTCTTTCCGGAAGAGGAACAATTTTGGAGAATTGTTTTTAAATCGAGAGCTTTTCAAACCTCACAGGGGAGAATGAGGAAGAGGGGACAGAATAGAAGAGACATTTTCAAAGGGAAAAAAATAGTGTTGCTTCCCTCAAAGGGAGGGGGTCATTTAAAACCAAAAATTTTAACAGGCCAGTAGGGCCGAGTTAAAAATCAGGAATTGTGAGTAGGCTTCACAGAAACCAGATCATATTTTTTATCATGTTAACTATTTCTCTCTCCCTCCCTCTGTGAGAGCATGAGTATGTTCATGTACATTCCTTAGGGTAATAGGAGATTATCCTGGTTGCCATTATTTAAGAGCAATCTTCTTGTCTTTCTTTTGCAGGGCAAAATATTATCTATCGAGGATGTTTTAAAGTACCAGAAAATTTAACGAACATCTTGCCAGCCTCATTGATACATTCCAATTTGACAGTGGAGATGTGTTCTGAATTTTGCTCCCAAAAAGTAAGAATTCCTTTCCTTTTTCCTTTTCCTCTTCTTTTTCTCCCTCCCACCCTCCTTCCTTCCTTCCTTCCTTCCCTCCCTCCCTCCCTCCCTCCCTAGTTTAATATATTATTAGGGTTGGATGTTGTTTAATAAGATATTGCTGCAGGATGTAAGTTGTTCCAAGTACTGGTAATCCTCAACTTACAACAGTTCATTTTAGTGACCATTCAAAGTTACAACATCACTGAAAAAAGTGCCTTATGACCATTTTTCACACTTAGGACCATTGCAGCATCCCTGTGGTCACATGATCAAAATTCAGATGCTTGGCAAGGGTTCATATTTATGACGATTGCAGTGTCCCTGGGATCATGTGATCACCTTTTGCAACCTTCTGACAAGCAAAGTCAATCAGGAAGCCAGATATACTTTACAACCTTGTTATTAACTTACCTACACTACAGTGATTCACTTAACAAGGGTGGCAAAAAAGTCATAAAATGGGGCACCACTCACTTAACAAATGTTTCATTTAGCAATGGAAATGTTGGGCTCAATTGTGATCAGAAGTTGAGGACTATGTGTAAAGCTGCCTTTTGCAATTGACCAATGATTTTCTCCATGCCAATGGTATTCAAGTGGTGCTCCAGATGTTTTGGATACTGGCCAGGATATTCAAGCTGTTCCAGATGTTCCAGATACTGGCCAGTATCTGGATACTCCAGATGCTGGCACTATCTTTGCTTTCTATTGCCACAGTTGTTCTACCTCTCTTTGCAAGTCTTTATATTTTGTGATTTTCTCCAGTTCTTTGTATTCTATTTCAAGAGTCTCTAACCTTGGCAACTTTAAGACTTGTGGACTTCAACCCAGAATTCCTCAGCCAGTTGAAGTCCACAAGTCTTAAAGTTGCCAAGGTTGAGGACCCCTGTACTATTATATTCTATTCTACCGTCTCCAGCAAATGCAACATCCAATAGCCAGACATCTTTGTCTTTCTTATCAACAATTGTTAAATCTGGGGTGTTATGTGGCAGGTGCTTGTCTGCTTGAAGTCTAAAATCCCACAGTACTTCTTCAGAACTTCTTCATTTCCTATTACTTTGTTTATTTGTGATCCCATAATTCTTGATTTCTGGCAAGTGATATTTCCTGGAGATTTCCTGTGCATTATTGTTGCTACTTTGTCATGCCATTGTTTGTAGTCAGCCTGTGTGATCTTCTTGCAGCAGCTAACCAGATGGTCCACTGTTTCCTCAGTTTCTTTACAGAGACGGCATTTCCTGTCTGTAGTGCTCTTTCAATTCTGGGTGTTTTGCATTTGTCCTTAAGGCTTAGTCTTGTGCAGCTAGAATTAACTCCTTTGTTTTTTTCTTCAACTTTCCTGCTCTTACCCATTGCCAGGCCTTGTTGTTACCTGCTTTGTTTTCTACTTTTGCTTATATTTAATGTACTGGCCATGTAACTTTGCCTTGTTCTTATTATTATTTAATATGAAATCACAGACGCAAGTTCTTTAGCTCATGTTGGCCTTCAAACACATTGAGTAATTCCCAAGAACCTAGGATGTCATTATGTGTGTATGTTTGTGTATATATTCATGTGTTTGTGTATGTGTGTATGTGTGTACACACATGCACACTGTATATCCCATGTTTATTATTTTTACAAATAACTCAAGGTGGCAAACATATCCAACACACCTTCCTCCTCCTATTTTCTCCATAACAACAACCTTGTGAGGTGGACTGGGCTGAGAGAAAGGTCAACCAGCAGGTTTTCATGGCCAAGCCCTTTAGATGTTGGAACACTGCTATCATGTCACCCTTAGTCCTTCTCTTTATTACACTAGATATTCCCAATTCCAGCAACTTTTCTTTATATGTTTTAGCCTCCAGTCCTCTGATCATCTTTGTTGGTCTTCTCTGCACTCTTTCTAGAGTCTCAACATCTTTTTTATATGGTGGCATCAAAACTGGATGCAGTATTCCAAGTGTGGCCTTATCAAGTCATAGTAAACTGGTATTAATACTTCATGTGATTCTATCCCTTTGTTAATGCAGCCTAGGACAGTGGTGGCAAATCTATGGCCCAGGTGCCAGAGGTTGCACTCAGAGCCGTCTCTGTGGGCACGTGTGCCATTGCCCCAGTCCTAGGCCTTCAGCTGGGTTTTATAAAACATTTCGCTTTATACCATATGCAAAAAAAAAAAAAAGGTTCGATCAATCAGTCAATTTCAACTTCTTGCGGGGAAAAAAACAATCTTGCAAAGTTGGAATTGATTGATTGAACTTTTTAGTCCCACCCAATCTGCTGTTACCACCGCAGCCACATCCACCCAATGGGCCATACCCACCCAATGGGCCACACCCACCCAGCACCCAACAATGCATAAGTGGGTTTTGGGTTGTAGTTTGGGCACTCAGTCTCTAAAAGGTTCGCCATCATTGGCCTAGGACAATGTAGTCCTAGGGCAGATATAATCTATCAATATAACTATGGGATGTAATGCATAGTGAACAGTCATTAGCTTTCTTTTTTTTTTGTGCCCAAATTGTCCAGTTCAGCCTGTGTCCAGTTAATAATTCCAGCAGCATATTGTGTCACAGCTATGGCCCAGATATTGATGGCTTTGATGGTATTTCCACCATTCAGTTTTGTCTTTAGCACTTTTCTCACTCTTTGGATATATTTGTCACTAATTACTTTTTTTTAATTTGTCATGCTTGATATTATCCAACTGTAAAATGCTCAGATACTGGTTGGCTTCAGACTGATGGTTCCTAATGGTTTGGCCATTTGGCATTTCAATTCCATTATTGTTCATGATTTTACTTCAATTTATTTCCACTGTAGCAATTTTCTCTGGGCCATTATTATTATTACATCACATTTCATTTTTCCTATATTTTCTGCCACAAAATTAGAGCAAACTGAGCCACTATTGCTTGACAAATGAGGTCAAAGAAGGGTCTTGGGATATATCTATGAAAGAGGTTTGTAAGCTCTGAGTCTTTAGTTTCCTAACCTCTTCTCAAAGCTAGGGGCTTCTGATATAGAAAATGTATCTGTAATTGATTTTAAGATGATAACAAAGATGATTAGGGGACTGGAGCTAAAACATGTGAAGAACAGTTACAGGAATTTGGTATGTCTAGTTTAATGAAAAAAAAAAAAAGGACCAGAGTGACATGATAGCAGTCTTCTAATATCTCAGGGGTTCCCACAAAGAAGAGGTAATCAAGCTATTCTCCAAAGTACCTGAGGGAAGGACAAGAAGCAACAGATGGAAGCTGATCAAGGAGAGAAGTAACCTAGAAGTAAGGAGAAATTTCCTGACAGTTAGAACAATTAACCAGTGGAACGACTTGCCTCCAGAGGTTGTGAATGCTGCATCACTGAATTTTTTTAATCACTGGAAATGTTGTCCAATCTCTTCCAATCACAACTGTTTGCCTGAAATGGTACAGGGTTTCCTGCCTAAGCAAGGGGTTGGACTAGAAGACCTCCAAGGCAACTAACATGGATTTATGGCAACTGCACTATCCTTGGGTCAAATGATCACCATTTGTAACCTTCTTTAGCTGACTTCCAACAAGCAAATTCAATGGGGGGGGAGGGGAAGCATGATTCATTTAATGTCTGAATGATTCACTTAATAATTGCAGTGATTCCCTTAACAAGAAAGGTCATAAAATGACAAGAAAGGTTGTAAAATGGAGCAAAATTCACTTAAGAACTGTCTTGCTTAGTGACAGACATTTTCGGCTCAGTTGTGGTTGTAAATTGAAGATTACCTGGAAATTGAATGGAATAAGACTGTGTTTGGCCTTACGTTTATGATTCTTCACATATTTTTCACTCTAGACATATTGTCAGTCCTACAAAATGTTGCCCTTTCTTAGTTCCCAGAGATTTATAAAATTCCAACCTTCAGCATTCTCCCTCAATCTTTTTTACTAATGAAAAGAGAAAGATACTTAGATTTGCCAGTCTTAGAGACGGGAACTTGAAGAAGCCCTTTCCTGAATTGAATATTCAGGACAGCAAAATAAATCACAATATTGTAAACAATGTGGCACTATTATCTCCAAATGTTCCAATTCTGGGGTAAAACATCCAGAGAGGAGATTCATCTCCTGAAATAATCAAGAGTCTTGCATGTTGAATGAGATGGCTTCCTTTGACAGACCAATGGCCAATAAATTAAAGTTGGTGACATTTCAAAGATTACGTTTTGGTTCTGTCATATTTTCTAAACACTCGGTGGTAACTTAAGTCTATATAGTGTTTGAATGTTTTAAAAAATACCATGCTATGCTCCTAAGTATTTAGATCTTCATCTAAGTTGAATATGACAGTATGTAATTTATCAGTTAGATACTAAAGCTGCCTTTTCTTTGAGAACAGAGATGGGTAACCTTCAACTGAGGGATGTTGTTAACCACAAAGTAACCTACAATCATTCTGCTGAAAATCAGTAGCAAGGTGTCAGATCTTCATTAAAAAGGAAGCGTTAATTGTTGTAAATGTCTGTCGTGACCTTTTCAGCCTCTTCATATCAACTACCTCTCCTAAAGCTTCCCCTCAAATAGCATCTAAGGTTTTTCTTTTTCCGATTCATCTTCACAACAATCCTGCAAAGTGGGACAGGCTGATTAAGAACGAGTAGGCTGAAACCTAAATGACTTTGTTAGCTGAGGATGCAGACCAGCCCTAATCCAATAGTTCATGTCTAGTCTAGTGAAAAGAAGGATTGGGGTGATATGATAACAGTGTTCCAATATTTGAGGGGCTGCCACAAAAAAAAGGGGGTCAAGCTATTCTCCAAAGCACCTGAAGGCAGGACAAGAAACAACGGATGGAAACTAATCAAGGAGAGAAGCAACCTAGAACTGAGGAGAAATTTCCAGACATTGAGAACAATTAATCAGTGAAACAACTTGCCTCCTGAAGTTGTGGGTGCTCCAACACTGGAGGCTTTTAAGAAGAGACTGGACAGCCTCTTGTCTGAATTG